TTTGCATGAGCCAGTTGACATCTTATTGCTCACATTGGTACGCTAGCATAGCGTCTATACTGGAATTCTACCAGTGCAAGAATGTACTCGTCACTGGAGCAACTAACTTTGCAGGGAGGTTCTGCTTGAGAAGCTGTTGCACTCTTGTCCAGCAATCAAGACTGCATTTTTCCTAGGGAGACCCAAAGCAAATCAAAATCTCCAAGCACAGGTTCAAAGAGATGCTGATTTGCAAGTTGCAAAGAATCATTTCAGACCAAAGTTGCCACTTTAACAAGTCACATCTTTAAGGTAGAGTGAATGATGGAAAAGGAGGAGACAGTACAATCCAAATACAAGAAATATATCCTGCCTTCCTCCGCTCACCATTAATTGTATACATGTTTGAAACAGGGAATCTTACAGTTTTGAAAAGCTCAGGTGAATAGTGAGGTGAGTAAAGCAAACAACTAATTTCCTAGATAACAAGGTGTAGAGCTGAATGAACACAGCAGGCTGAGCAGGAAAGCTGACGTTTCGGAAGAAGGGTCTACGCCCAAAACATCAGCTTTGCTGCTCCTCTGATGCTGCTTGGCCTGCTGTGTTCTTCCAGCTCTACACCTTGTTAGCTCAGATTCTCCAGCATCTGCAGTTCCTACTATCTCTGAAACAAATTTCCTAGGCAAGTTTCTCTTGTGCATCAAAAATGCTACTCGTTTGTTCCCTGAGTGTGTAAATTTATGTTTATGTGAGATGTTTTGCTATGTTAAACTGCGGTATGAATCTGAATTGCTGATACCAGCGTGTATTGGTGCTGTCTCTAAAGACAGGTCTTTGGCTTCATGCATGCTGATACTTCATCCTGAGCCACTTTCCTTGGCATTTTTGTCAATAGTATTTGCCATTGCTTTCCACTGAGTGGTGTGAGGATGCAAGTCTCAAGTTTGTCTCAACTGGAATGGGGATCAAACCCACACTTTCTCAAGAAATGTCATACTGGACTCGCAAAGTTAACTTTGTTTCTGTCTCTGCAGATGCTGCCTAGACCTGCAGAGTTTTTCCAGCATTTCTTGTATTTGTATCTGGTTTCTTACATTAGGTGCATAAAGGCCTTATAGGGTCTGGCAAGGTTAATGACTGAGAGTCTCACTATTGTGAATCTGCTGTTGACATTTCTACTAAGAGACTCCCTATAGGTTGGGTGCTACACCACCTGTTTGCATCTTGAGTGTTCTTCCCCTGTCTCTCATTTCTAACAATGCTTTACCCTTTTGTTTTCAATTTAAAAAGGAAACTGCGAATGCCTAGGTGTATGTTGATTTTTGTCTTCCCTCCTGTCACCTCTCCAAACTGACAAACCATTTTTCATTGAATAATTACTGTTTCCTAGCCACAGCAAATTTTCAAAGAGTTTCAGTCTCTGTTAGCTGAACACACTACATTTTTATATGCTTGAAAGTAAATAGTTTTCTCTGTTTTCATTCATGGGCTGAACACTTAGTGTTTTCATTTATTCTTTCATGGGATGAGGACATCACGGGATGAGGACATCACAGGCTAGGCCAGCCTTATTGCCCATCCCTAATTGCCCAGAGGGCAGTTGACAGTCAACCAAATTACTTTGGATCTGGAGTCACATGTGGACCAGACCAGGTAAGGACAGTAGTTGCCCCTTCCTAAAGGAACTAGTTGGGTTTTTCCAATGTGCTCATGTCCCTTTTTTTTTTAAATGTAGGCAATTAGGAGCAGCAGTAGGCCATTCACCCCCCCTAAGATTTATTCCACGGGTAATCACATAAGTTACAATTTCCTGCCCTTATTCCATATCTCTCTATCACCTTAGCTAATTAAAAAAAAAACCCTACAATTTCAGTCTTGAAAACTTCAGTTGTTCCCTGGCATCCCTAGTCTTGTGAGAAGAGAATTCCAAAATTTTATCACCTCTTGTTGTGGAAAAAGTATTGCTGATTTGTTCCTAAATGACTTGGCCAAAATTTGAAGATTATAGACCTGGCCCTTGATCCTTCCAGAGAAAGTAATATCTGCATGATCAAGTACTTGTGACATTTTGATCTTAATCCGATCACTCTAAATCTCCAATGCTCAAGATATTAAGTGAAATTTAAGAGGTTTAGCCAAAGGGCTCAATGAGCGTGGTAATGATGACTTAACTGTCATTTAGGATGGTGATGAAGTGTAAATAAATGATTTAGGTTTGTGTGTAGATCAATAAGTTCACAGATGATACAATAATTGGCGGGATGGTAAATAGTGAGGAAGGTAGCCTAGTTTACAGGAGATGTAGACCTACTGATAAGATGGGTCAATTAGTGGTAAATGTGGCATTCGGTCTGGATAAGTGCGAAATGATGCACTTGGGAAGATAAGCAAGGCAAGGGTGTGTACATGCTGGATGGTACGGTCCTGGGAAGCACCAAGGATCAAAGAAACCTTGGTGTGCGTGTCCACTGGTCCCTTAAAGGACCGGTAGATAAAGTGGCTAAGAAAGCAATGGAATACTTGCCTTTATTAGCTGAGGTATAGAGTTTAAGAATAGGGAGGTGATGCTGGAATTTTTAAAAATGTTTGTTAGGCCACAGCCAGACTATTGTGTGCAGTCTGGAATCCACATTATTAGGCGGGATGTGAATGCACTAGATAGTGCATTCATTTTACAGAGGAGATTTACCAGGATATCGCCTGTCTGGAGAGTTTGTTATGAAGAGAGATTGGATAGACTGGGGTTGCTTTCCTTCGAGCAGAGGAGATTGAGGGTGACATAATTGAGATTGTTTTAAATTATGAGGGGCATAGATAAGATAGCCAGGAAAATACTTTTCCCCTTGGTGGAGGGATCAATGACTACGCAGCGTAGATTTAAGGTAAGGGACGAGAGGTTTAGTGAGGATGAAAGGAAAACATTTTTTCATCCACATGCTGGTGGAATCTGGAACTCAGTGCCTGCAAGGTGGTAGAGATAGAAGCCTCATATCATTTAATAAGTATTTAGATGTGCACTTGCAATGTCAAGGCACACAAGGCTAAGGGCTAAGTGCTGGAAAATGTAATTAAAATAGTTAGGCGCTTGTTTTTGACTAGCGTACACTCAATGAGCTGAAGGGTCTTTTTCTATGCTGTGGACCTCTATGCATCTATAACACTATTATATATGATTTAATCTGGCTCCCAGGTCAGTGATTTTGGATGAGAATAATTGGATCTTCACTGAAATTCGAAGTCCAATAAAAAGCAATCCTGCTTCAGTTAAGTCATTCTCAAGGCATGAACTAGAAACGTTTTCTCACGCACTTGTCTTCAGGTCCAAATCCCTACTTCGATCCGCAGTTGCTTTGTTTTGTCACAGTTGCTTCACTAACGCCTACTTCCTCAGATTGGAAAATCAGCCTTGATTGCTTGAAGGAGCTGATGAATATTTGTGTTAATTGAAACATTTATTATTTTGAACCATTGAATCAGGATCCAAATCTATTTTTGGAAGCAGACTTCCTAACTTGTTCTGAGATACATACCTGTTTTGAAGCAACAGCATTTAAAGTTTCTGACTCTTAGTTTATTCATCTCTTTTTGCTCATCAAGCTGACGATCAGTGCGACAATCACAGTGAAAAATTTGAATCCAACTTTGATGATTCTGATTAAATGTTAACCTGAACCTCAAATTCCTACTTCCCCTATCTGAATGCAGGCCCTGCACCTCTTTGTCGGAGCCACCAGGGAACCTCTCTGTTTCCAAACCTTCTTCAACTCTCTGGGAAATATTGATGCTTCCTGACTATAGTTTGACAGATATACATTGAATTCGAAAAGACAATTTGTAACAGGAGGCTGAACAACTGTTTTGCATTCTTTTAATTATATTAGGGTAATCTATATTTTCTTGATCTTCCCCCCGCCCAAAAAAAAACTGGACAGTGTTGTTATTTTCAGAATACCGAATGAAAGATCTGGACTGGTTTTAAGAGAAATGTTTGCCAAGAACTGTCATATGTTCACTTTAAAGTAAGCACAAGTTTGATTTCGTCCCAATGATTGAATGTCTATTAATTAAAATGGTCAAAGAGAATGAAAATAACTTGATTTAATCATAGGGATCTTATTCAAACAATGTCACATGTAACTTCCTGTGCTGTGATTGTTTCATTTATTCATAGTAATTTTGTAATGGTAAGAGTTTTCACTTTCCCTTCTAACTTTTTTGTCCCTTCTGTAGACCTTTTGCAACCCTCCTTCCTCCTCATCTGTCTCACCATTGACAAGTTAGTCAAGAGAGTTGTTTCCACAGAATTAACTAGTGGATGGAGTGCAAGAGGAATTTTCAGTGATATTTCAATGCGTGTTTTCTCTTTTCTCCGTAATTTCTTGTGTCATAAATCGGTTAAGTTGTGTTACTCCTTGTCAGTAGAACCAGGATCAGAAACTTAGCAGTGCAGAAAATAATGTAGATAGTCTCTTACCTACTTGAGACTGTCTTTTCCTCCTTCTAACATTTTAAAATTTTCCTTTTTTTAATCCTCAATGCGATTTGTGCTAAAATAGATATTTTCATGCCTCTGAGCCAAACCGTATATTCATTTTACAGAATCCTGTACAAAGAAATAATCAGTATCAAACTGTTGTAGATCTATTGATGACCATTGTACCTTTCTAAAGACATTGGAGTATAAATATAGACTTTTTGGAGAGGAGAGGATGAGAGTGAGATGGCTGATATTGTTGACTGTTGCTTATTACTCTGAGACGTTACCAAAGCAACTTGTAGGAGGAGCTCTCTTTTACTCTCTCCCCTAATTCTGATATGCTGAAGTTAACTCATCTGAGCTGAGTACTGGAGAGAATTATTAGCATGCACAATCAACAGGTGCCCTAAGCCCTGTTGTACAGTACTGTTTTGCAACTGTGTAAGCAAAATACTCTATTGGGAACGGTGCATAAAGTACGCAAATGAAGGATTTTTATTGGCCATCTGTGTTGTATTAATGTTGGCTGTTCTGTTCCCTGCAGGACTACGTATCAAACAGGAGCCAGTAACCAGTTACCCTCAAGTAGTGGTTGTTCGAGTTCCTACTCCTTCAGTCCAGAATGATAGTGACATCACTGTCCTGCGGCACTTGGAAAAGATGGGCTGTCGCCTGGCCAATCGTCCTCAGGCCATATTGCACTGCGTTAACAAGTTCTGGACTTTCCAGGAATTAGCTGGTCATGGAATACCACTGCCTGACACCTTCTCTTATGGTATATATAAATAGATGTTAAGAATACTTTTGCGACTTTAAAATCTTCAGCAATGTTTTATTTTTGAAAGCAAAAACACAATACCCTCTGAAATAATAATATTTAGACACAACCTAGTCTATGCTGCAGCTTTCTTTGACACCTGCAATAGTTATTACCCATAATTGTTACTTGTGCAGCTGTAAACCTTAAGTTAAGAAAGCTAGACACTATAAAATGTATCTCCGTACGTTCTTGATCTTGGTGTTTTTTTCATACTATGGGCACTGTGTGTCCTTGAAAAATTTCAGCCGTTGCGTTTGATACAGTTTGTTTTTTAAGAACTGATGAAAAGTTAAAATGAATTGCCAGAATCAGTAATTAAGATCAAAATACAGGACTTGTTTTTTTTTAAAAAATCTCGATAATGTAATGGGAATGTGGTTAGATCACTATTCTTAAGCTGATTTTTTTAAAATCTTGGGTGAGATATAGGGAAGAGGAGACAAATATAGGTTTTCTCCTTGCAGGGACTAAAGCATCCATAATCTTATTCCTGTTTGCCCAATAACCTTGAAACTTTCTTCTTACAACAGGTGGTCATGAAAATTTTGCAAAAATGATCGATAATGCTGAGCCTTTGGGTTATCCAGTGGTAGTTAAAAATACACGAGGTCACCGAGGTATAAATTCTTTCTCATTTTGCAGATAAGTACAGATAAACTGAAGGCACATAAATTTATTTTTGTGGTCTTTAATATCACTTTTTAAGGAACAGAAATCAAATCATTGAAGGATGGTGCAATCTCTGTTCTGATGAGGTAGCTGATTTCAGCTGCGATAGTATTTGGGCACTACAATCAGTCATAGTTGCCTCACCACAGGTGGTCTGGAGGGGTTGAAGGTAGATGTTGGGAGGAGCAGAGGTGATGGTTTGCAGGAAGTGGAAAAAACTGATGTGGAATCAGATGAGCTTTTCCTCCTGATTAATATCCTGTGCCCCCCAGTGATAAACTTGCATTTGGGCAAAAACATGCTCAGTAGAGATGCCACCTCTAGCCCTGCGCTTAACTAACCTGCTGATGTTCTCACATGCAGGACATTAAGGATATCCTCCTTTTGAGAGTTACAGGAGTGTGTCAGATATTTAGTGGGATGGCAAGAACCAGTATTTTTATAAGAAAAATAAAGCAAAATTTAAATATTTTTTCAAATAAATATTTACATTTACATTAGAATATTGCAAAGTAAAATACTGTGCTGTCTTATGTTTTTAGTGTTTTTCATATATATATATATATATATGTAAAAATAATAAAGAATCTTTATTGCCTGAGTGGAAATAGTTTATTATTTAGCCTGTTGAGATGCATAACAGAAATTTGCCTCTATTTTGTTCTTCAGGGAAGGCAGTGTTCCTGGCACGGGACAAGCATCATTTGTCTGACTTATCTCATCTGATACGACATGATGCTCCATACCTTTTCCAGAAATACGTAAAGGAATCTCATGGGAAGGATATCCGTGTGGTGCTGGTGGGAGGCCGTGTGATTGGTGCAATGCTGCGCTGCTCCACTGATGGTAGAATGCAAAGTAACTGCTCACTAGGTGAGATTTTGCACTTCATGGGTACTGGAATATTGTGGCTCCCTCATTGGCTCCATTTGTAAAGGCAATATGTAATTATTACATGATATAGTTATACAGACCATCAATCCCAGCTTTAATCCCTGACTTTGTGTCAGATGGTTTGGAGTAGTGGAGTTGAATTAGGGACCACATAGAATTATTAAGTTCTGGAATTGACATTGGTCCTGTCACTGGAAGATGTCGACTCGCTGTAATCGTACTATAAATGATCTTGCAGGATTGCTTGATTATACTGGGCATCACATATGGTAGTGTGTTACCTGATGCTATAACATTATCATCAGTCATTGTTCACTCTAGAATGTGTAAAGCATCTTGTCAAAAGATGGAATGCTGTTCCTCAAGTTTAATTGAACTTCAGGAGGCCAAGGACAGTTCAATGTGAGAATAAGATGAAGAGTTAAAACGATAGGTGAACAGAAGGTCAGCGTCATGTTTATGGACTGAACAGAGCTGTTCCAGAAATGGTCACCCATCCACATCTATGTCAAGCAGACTGTGTTGTGATCAGTGAATACATTGTAGTAAATTTAAATGAATAAACTATTGTTTCACCTGGAATGAGTATATAATACAGAACATAATTAATGCTAAAAAAGGACAGATAACGTTGAAGTTTTTCACCATTAGCTGAACCACAAGAAGAAAAGTCTTTTGAAAAGAAACGGCAATTTATAAAACATGACTCAGCTACTTGTAAGGGGCCATATGTTTTCCATTTAGGATTATAAATTGAAAATTAAGTTGGACACTGCTATACAGCTAAAACTACAGTACCAGGAGAGATTTTATAACTTCAAGATCAAGTGGGATTGTGAGGTGTACACTTTAATTAGACAAGATTATGTTATATTTCAGAACCGTGACATGAATGTTTTGTGACAGAGTGGCACCAGCAGCCTTTGAATTAAGGGAAAACTACTGAGCAATGGCCTTAAGAATATGCTTCTTAGGTTGCAATTTCACAGACCTGTAAGACTCTGCACCAAGAGATATCCAGAAACTAGCACGCTTTGAATATGGACCATTGCCATGCAGACAGTATATCGTCATTGTTGCTGAAAATCAGAAGAATTATGAGAAACAACTCATCCAACCTACTAGTCTGGACTTTGACAGAATTAGGACTGTAGATGAGGAATGGTTTCTTGACTCAAGTGGTAGTTAACCTGTGGAATTCTCAACTATTTGAAGGTTGTGGAGGCCAAATCATTAAGCATATTCACCATAAAAACTTTTAGATGTTAAAGACATCAAGGGCTATAGGAAGAAAAAGGGAATATGACATTGAGATAGAGAATCTACCTGGATTCTACAGAATGGCAAAGCAAGTTTAAATAGCCAAGTGGCCTACTCCCGCTGCTAGTTTTTATGTTTCTATGTCATTTGTTTTCCTTGTCTGTATTTTCCACCAGTAATATTTCTGTCAAACCATCTGTTATTTTCTGCCATATTCGTGAATGAATGTGCACCTATTTGGAGTTTGTCTTGAGTTGCATAGTGATAAATCAGTCATCCATTTTTGCCCTTTTGTTAAAGAATAAATTCATTTATAGTAAATAGTTACTTTCCTGTTAATGAAGAAACCTGGTCTGAATTACTTTGTCCTGAGTAGCAGTCAGTCAGCAAGTTGGTTATCTTGGTGTTTTAATTGGGTGAGTATGTTTTTGTAACAGCTTATGGAATAGTGAGTCTCAGTTATCAGTGCACTTTTCCCAATTGAGTCATGACACACTTTGCAATAAGCACAAGTTGTTTCCTCCAGGATACTGCTGTTAACCAAAAAGATGTTTTGCTTACCAGACAAATGAATAATGTCATAAATGAATTTCAGTGTCCGTGTAATGCTAGGTCTATAAGCTGTACATCCAAATCATTGGAAAATGTATCAAACAGGTCCTTTTGTCTGCAGCAAGCAGCGTGCTAATATATACATTGTATTGGATAATATGTAACATCGTAAAGAGACTGAAGTCACTGTCAATCAAAGAGAAGATCTGACAACAATTGGAATCAAAGCAGCTACAAAGAAAAATATTTGTTGGTTGTCAGGTGGGAATCGTTGCAACACTAGGACATAATGACAAGATTTCTACAAGGAAGTGGCCTCCACACGGACTTCTTCAGTCAGTTCATCAGTTTAATTCCTAACCTAAGGTCAAGAGAGGGGATTTACATTGATAATTTTGTATTCCAGTCCATTCACAATTCTTGTAATAAAGAAGTCCTAACCAGGATCTGGAGAAGGTCCAAATTTGAACAGATGAGAGCAGGTAATATTTGTATTATGTAAATTCAAGATAATGGTCATCAATGGCTTAAAAAAAAGAGCCAAACCGATTTTCTCTGACCTTCAGCAGCACTGTTATCAACATATTGGGGGAGCCACCAAAGACCAAAGCCAAACTGGACCAGCCATATCAACACCACAGCTACAATAATAGGACAGAAGCCCCAATGAGTAGTGTACCTCCTGATCCCTGAAAACCTCTCCATCACATATAAGGCTCAAATCAGGTTTGTTTCAAATAAGCCTACTCAACTGAATAGGTACAGCTATAAATACATTCGAAGCTCAGTATATTCATGATCAAGTTAGCTTCATGTTTTGCCGTGGTCACTGACTGCATACAGTATCTACCTCTTGCACCATCAGCATATCCAACTTGCAGTATTTGTGTGTTACACAGGGTCTTGGAACAAATCAACAAAGGTAGTTCAGCAGCCACTCTATGACCTTTCCTATTGTGAAGGCCAAGACAGCAAAATAATACAAATGGAACACATTCAAGTTTTCATCCCAAGTCACGCACGATTACTGCCTTGGACATATATCACTATTCCACATTTGAGCTGGAATTCATGACTTCACACTGTGGAAGTCCACCACCAAATTGCAGTTGTTCTTCAGATGGCTAAGCAGCAATAATAAATGCAGTCTTAGCAGAATTGCTCTCATCCAGAGGATACATTTGTTCAAAAAGGAGAGGTTAGTATAAAAAATAAGCTGTTTTGACAACAATAGGAAAATTGGAAATATCATCATCTTCAGTAGTTAGAAACACACAAAGGAGAGGTCACTTCTTCATTTCAAGATGAGCAAAATTGCTGTTTGGAAGTAAATTTATTGTCTGGAAACTGACAGATTGTGGAAGCTTACTCTCTGGGTGCTTGTAAAATAAAATGAGTTAAGACTGGAGATTTAAGCTTTACTGCCTAGCAGAGATTCCAGCTTTAGTTACTGGGTTTACTGAGAGTTATATAGAAAGCTTAATTGGTCATTTGCCAACAGAATATTTTACTTGTATACTATTTTTCTGTGATATGCTAATTATAATTTTTAATTTTCATGGAAGTTCAGAACTGATACTTTTTTTTTATTTCATAGGAGGTGTTGGTGTGATGTATCAGCTGAGTGAGCAGGGCAAACAGCTGGCAATCCAGGTCTCCAATATTCTGGGCATGGACGTGTGCGGTATCGATCTGCTCAGGAAAGATGACGGTTCTTTTGTAGTGTGTGAAGCAAATGCAAATGTAGGTTTCAGGGCCTTTGATAAAGCTTGCAATCTGGATGTAAGTGGTATAATAGCGGACTACGCCCTATCATTGCTGCCAAGCAGACTGACCAGAAAGATGTCGCTTCTTTCTGTTGTTTCAAGTGCCAGTGAAACAAGTGAGCCAGAGGTGGGGGCTTCAGTCAGTGCCATCCCTGAGAGTGTGTTCACCATGAGTGTGGGTTCAAGCTCTAGTGAGAGTGATCCTGAAATAGTGGAGGTCAGAGATTCCGACACTGCTGGTTCCAGGTCCATGCAGACTGTACTGCCTGAGTCAGGCTACAACATGAACAATCTCATAAACAGTGAAATGAAACTATTGAGTGAGTGAGGCTGAGGAGCCATTGCTAATCGGTAAATCAAACAGGACAGCTTTCCCAGCTGAACTGTTGTTAAACAGTAAAAGAATTGATGGACAGAATACTTAATGGTTAACATGAGAGTAAATTATATCAAATCTGGGTATGTTGAATAACCCTGAATGATATTATAGCCATTAACTCACTCCTGGGCAATGGGTTATGTAGCCTCAGTATCACTGGGGCCAGAGTGGAGGTTGCAGTTGATAAACTTATTTCAATAACTCAATAATATGGTTTCCGTTGCTTAGTTAAAAGGTATTGCCTTGGCAATAAAAAAAATAGTAATTGTCAGAAAGACAAGGACTGGTTAATGTTACAGAGGAGATCTTTCATCAGTTCATGTTAGGAAATGCATGGCCTCTGCTTGACATCTTCCATTCGTACCATGGTTGAGGTTGAGTTCTGCATTTGAAATCAAAATCTTGCCTCTCTGCAATGAATTGCACCTTCACTGTATTTTCCACTTATCTAGAATAACAGTTTTATATCTTCCTTGTTTACTATTTGCTACAACAGCAATGTTGTTGGTGAAAACAGTTTGAACTGACATGCAAAACACACTTTATTATTCTGGAGCATATAACAACTCAAGCTGTGATTCTTTAGCTGGTCTTAGACCAAAGGCATGAATATGAAGAAAGAGAGAACATCAGTTTAAATTAAAATGTCAGCACATACTATTTCAATTCTTATCTCTTCCTTTTCCTCCCAAAATAACTTTTGAACAGTGATATTAAAATGTTGGTTAGAAATAAATGAACTTCTGCATAAAGTAATTTGAGAGAATATATAATTGTTAAATATAAAAGAATTTGATGTTAAGTCATTTTCTATTTTAGTTGTTTTTTGGAATTTGGCACATGAGTCTGCCTATCAGGTAGGTTAATGGATAAAGTGTGCATGTTGAGGGTGTGTGATCATAAACTGTGGTAAACTGATTGCTTACAAATAGTTTCTTTGCTCAACTTCAAATAGTTGAAGGTGAATTGGATGTTGTTCTCAGCTTGAGACTTGGTTATAACATTGACAAAATCTACATTTTGTTGACTGAATTGATAAAATGCAGTTTTACTCAGATTGAGATTGCAAAGAAACAATCCTGGACTTCACAAAATTATTGGGGAAATAAATAAGACATGTCCTAGCTCATCGATACAGAAATCCTTTTGGCTTGAGTTGCCATGCTAATGTGTGTAATAAATGTTTTGAATTGTTGCCACTATTTATTGCCCCCCCACCCCCATTTCCACTTTACTGTTCTAATTATACTTGTCAGCAAGTCAGTGGCAACTTAACCTGATACTATGCTGCAGTAGTCGAAGAAAACCAAAGGCCAAAGTCTGTTGAAGCTTGTCTCCTAGAATACTAACATGCAAAGCTGAGCATCATGCTAGATCTAAAAGGTATGAAATGTACTTGGCTGATGGCTGTTTTGTAATCATCTGGTTATGCAGAAGCTTTGGATCTGGTGTATCAAGTGAAATGTGCAAGGTTAAAATCCATCGGATTAACAATAAATAAGAGAATTTTAAAACTTATCATATTATATATTCAGGACAGCAAGTATTGATATTTATACACTGAGTATTGCTAAACAGGTGAAATCTGTAAAGTGTGTAATGTATGAGGATTGATTTGTCCTCCTTTAGACTTTGCAGAAGCTAGCTACAGCCTCTCGCAGTCGCTGAGACTCTCAGAAAAAGTAGTGTCTGTATTTACACATTGTACCTCCCAGAATGAAGGGCACATATCGTATTATGTTTTTCTTTTTAAAGATTTCAATATAGTCTCTGATTTTTATTTTTATAATTGTTGGCAAGTTTGTGTCGCCTTACTGAAAGTATTAACTTCAGCGGTTAATATATGGGTCAGCAAACACAAAGCTCACGAGCACCTTAATTAGTCCAGCATATGCAGTGTTTGAAATAATTTTAAATAGGATAGATCAGTTTCAGTAATTAGGCTTTCTTAATCATAATGTTTTGAATATTGGAACATTAAACAAAAAAATACCGGCTTTGTTAACTTACACCAGAATCCTTGCTGTCTCATTTCACTTAATGAAAATCCAGGTAAGACAACTGTTAAGTGGTAGCTATTACTGTACAATGAATAGTACAAACCAAATATGGATTAAACCATTAACGTGAGATAGTGGGAACTGCCAATGCTGGAGAATCAATCTAAACCATTAACATGCCAGCTATTTTTTTTAAAAAAACTGTCACTATTTACAGGATTGGGAGTACACATTACATTAAGACAACTGAAATCCTGAGCAGATTTGTCTACAGAATCTACAGTTATATGTCACTCAATGTGGTTGAGATTCCTGCAGAAATTGACTTGAAATACTGCAGAATTTTAGATAAATTTAATGAATGAGTTTCTATAAGCCGCTTGCGTAGCTCAGTGAGGCCATCATATTCTTCAAATAATGTGACTGTTGTTAATGTAAAGGCAATCTGGCTGTGGCTGGCACTCTTTTGAACCAGTACTATACAGGGTAGCTGTTAACACAGCCTGTTGATGCATGCATACTTAAAACAGCAAAAGAACATTGTATGTAATCTGCTTGCAGTATATTTTACACTGAGCTTTTACTTAGCTGTGCTTGCACAACATTCTGATTAAATGTAACTAATTCCTTCTGGAAAGTCTCCAGCTATCCAACATGATCCTTCTCAACCCTTTTAACATCAATGAGCATAATGAGATCTAACTTTTTAAATGGCTTGCGAACCATTTCCTATAAACCTCTCTGCAATTTTTCAAGACCAAGGTTACTGTGGAAACTCAACATCAGAAATTCAGGACCTTACATGCTTTGTTGAAACGTTCCACACAATACTCTGTTTGAATAGATTGACTCAAAGCCAGCTGCAGCTGGAACAGAGTCAATGACCTGAAAATCCCTGACAATATTTCCACACAGCACAGAATCCAAGAATGAGGCAAAGACATGGTGCATCATGCATCATTTAAACTGTTTATTAAATTTCTTGAAGTAGATTCATGATTTTTGTTTTATGTACAATTAACTGATTATCTGAATGTTTGAATGCACCTCAGTGGAAATACTGAACCATGCAAACCCAGCCAGCTCCCTTGTGGGGATGCTACTACTGGGTTACTGTGCCTGGACTGGTAGAGTGGCAAAAGGATTGATGTTAATGAACACATTTATAAATAATCACAAAGAATTTGGCTTATTTTAATCAAATAGTGCATTGTTTGCTTTTCATGCTTGCACATTAAGAATGGAGAGGCCATTTTGAGTGGAGCTGTCACCCATCAGTAGGCTTGGTCCTCTTTGGGGTTAAGATGAAAGTGAAAGATCGAACATAAAGCTACCTAGGCTGAAGAAGTTGTGCAATTTCTGTAATTGAACATTCAAATAAAATCTATTATTTGTATCTATGTATGCATGTAAAATTAACAGAAAAAGCAGTGCACTTTTACACGCTTTCTTACTCACGCAACCAGTCCTCCCAATCCCAGCCACCAAAAGCAAAAGGCTACTCTTGACATCCTTTCTAAAGGAACTCCCAGATTACCTTGTAAATTGAATGTTGTAAAAATATTATTGAATGGCCACAGCGTTTCTTGATCTGAAATAAGGTGTAGTTAGCTCTCTTTGCCATTTTGAGAGAAGAACAATGGGTTGTTAAGCCAATTAATATCTTCACAGACATTTCCAGTAGCTAACCTGGGAAGAGCTATGCTTTGAATGATATGGGCTTGTTTGTTTTTGTGTCCTGCATTAGGTAAGTTGACTATATGGGTGGGGAAGTTGTTGGTATTGAAAGTCAGGAGGTGGCTGATGATTTTGTGTCCATTGTTTAGATAAGTTGACTAAATACTGAGGTTGAGGGTCAAGAGTGGCAGATCCAACATTGGTATGCACATTCAGTTGAGAGATTCAGAACTGTTTGAAATTTTTTTTCTGTTGATTTAGTTTGCAATTTAACTTAACAGCATGCAAAAGAGTGGAAACCTTTGTTTGAATAAAGATGCCGTATAATTGCATGAAGAGTATTTAACACACCTGATTATTGTGATGGCATGAGGAAGGGGAGCTCCAATAGTTTGAAGCATAAAAATATTTTAAAAAGGTAAAGGAAACATTTTGTGTATTACTGGTGCATACTCCCTCATATGTTTCAGTAAATTTAAGAATGTGCTGATTTTATGTGTTTTTATAACCGAGTAAAACAAATGGCTAGTGTTTGTAATGATTGTGTGTGGGATATATCCTGATCACAATAAGTGAAGCTGATTGGGTAAGTTAATAGATAACTTTGTTCTACAGCCAGCTGTTGGGATACAGTAAGCAAACAAATTTTAAAATAATTTGTACTTTTAAAATTGACCTAAAATTGTGAAGAGGGGCAAAGGAGAAAAAAAGGCAACTTTTTAAACAAAAACTTTGATTTTCAAGCCATGCATATGAGAAACCTCCTCACAAATGTGAATTCCTTCAGACCTAGATCTCTGATTGAATTAAGATTTCTGAGCTGTGATCAGTGAGGCAGATATTTCTGCCAGCTCTTTGATAGATAAGTGCTATATGATACTGTGTAAGAAATGTGTTCTCATGTAAAATGCTGAATGCTAGCTACAGGCTGGCAGGGTTAATCAATTATATTAGGTCAAAACTATTGAAATAATTTAATTGATGTATGTTGATAGCAAAATTTGGTCTTTTCTTTTTTTTAAAATTGTGACTGCCCCTTACTGATGATTCTAGAACAAAGTGTATACTTTTTTGTATGGGAGGTGAGGGAAGAGATTTGACTCTATTAATCCAGTTTCCCTGTGTTCCACCTGTCCTTTAGAGTTGTGGGCTGAACAGAAATATTATTGCAGAGTGTTTACATTTGCCTTAGTCTGACCAATAAATATTCATTTTACCTCATGGATATTCTTCTTTCCATGGTACTTAAAACTGTGGGATGAATTTATAAGCCCAACTTTAGCATAACAACAAAGTACTGCACTGGAAACTTTTGAAGTATAAGCCCCTAGAACTGAGATTTGAAACACAATTGTAGATCTTTTACCGCAGCATTAACATGACAGATTTGAAAGCAGTTCATTGTACAGAGTGTGAAACGGAGGCAGCCTTACCAATCCTGACATTCCATTGTGTTTACAGATATAATGAGTGAGGGCAGGAGAGGCAGCTCTGTCCCATTCTCCAGGCATGAGTAGAATATTATACATATGTAGTTAGGAATTAAATTTAACTTGTATTTAAGAGAAAAAAAAATATTTGAACATCCAAAAACTGTTGAGTTTATGCTTTTACTGCTTATTTCATAAATGCTCGGTGTTCTTTAAATATTTGGGGAGGGCTGGGAGGGAGAGGTCTGAAAATGTACATTTTTTAAAAAAGCTGTGAGTGTTCCAATGCACTGAACTGTACAGCTGTGAAGTTTGAATTTACTGGCAGTTTCACTGACTGTTTCTCTGTAGAACATTGTGTTTGGAGCAAGATTGATTTTTGTGTGATTGTGAGCATGTACGATTGGGTGCCTTGTTCAAATGTAATTGACACAATAGTCAAAGGACATCAGTGAATTTGTGTAAAAGGCAGTTGTGCAACCAAGTATCCTTGACAACATATACTGGGGACATAGCTAAACTGGTTTGAATTACTAAAGCCTTCAGAGAAATGATGTGGGATATATGCACTATACTTGTTTTAAATAATCATATAGTAGTTAAAACAATTTTTAAGTGCAGAATTTTCCATTACAGACGGTGTGTATGGTATGGAAATCAATCTTTAATGGTTGTTTCCTTAAGGTAAACTAAAAGGTGACTCATTTCAACCAGTGGTTTGTATTCAGTGTATGTATCATTGGTTATATATTATGCTTGCACATATTGCATGGTGGACTCTGACTAAGATCTGGCCCTACAGATATATACAATTGGTCGGCTATCTTCAGCATCAAGGTATTGACAGTTGTAAAAATGTTGACTGTGACACTTAAAACATTACAGAAAAATATTGAAGAATGCTTTGTGTTTAAAATAATCCATTAGACCCTTGGGCTGCAGTTCTGGATAGCATGGAAATCGGTAGTGATCAGCACCAGAAGTACCTTTATACATTACCTGAAAATTTTTATAGATCCGAATTTATCTCTTGTTTTTGTGATCTTGTCCAAATGGCAGCTAGAATTTGCAAGTTTATAAACTATTGTAAACTTTTCTTGTATTTTTGACACACACAGGATATTTTATAAACTTTATTATAAATTTTTTAAAAATCATTTTTACTATCAGTTATTAAGTACTTATCTGTCGGGCAGTCATTTGGATTTTCGAGGAGTCTGAAGCAAGGAATTTTCCATTTGTAAAGCCAGTGCCTCTTGATATGCTGCCTGCACAACCTGGTTGTGCTGCTGTTTGACAGCTGTGTGACTGTAGCCCAAAGGTATAATAAAGCAAGTAGTAACTTATTTTCTGATGATAATACTTCAGGTTTGCTTCCTGTTCACACAGAGGCCATCCTGTGTCCAGAAATTTGCATCAGCCTTTTAGTTTTATCCTCAGGACACAAACTGCAGTTATTCCTCTCCTTTTGGAAAACTTCATGCATTTGTAGGTTACTACTTGCATTATATGTTATGCATTATCTTTGTGTGTGTATGTATTTGGGGAGAGGGAGAGAGAGAGCCTGCATGTCTTTCATGAGTGTACAGATGTCAAGAGTGTGGTTAACTGGTAAGTGGATTGATCCGTGATGTTTGAAAATTTGAAGGACTAATAAGATTGAGAATGCTTGGTAGGGGTTTCATGATCTTTAGAATGGTAAGCTGAACTCCTTAATATCTAACTTGTTTCCAAGTGCATGTGGAGTTTTAAACCAGCATTCAAAATTTCAGTAGATAAGTGGTTGTGACTTGAGCTGCACTAAGGACTGAAGAATTCTAGGTACAAAGACATCTACGATCTCATGTTTCAAGAATTGTATAATTTTAAATAGACTCAAATCATTTTTAAAGATTTGGTTCAAGGGGAGAGAAATTTCAAACCATGCAGGGTAAAGCAACAGCTGAGAATCCCTCCATTTAGGATGCTTTGCTCCATTACCAAATAAATATTTGTATTGGTTTGTGGAGACTACAGAATTTTAGCAGAATGATGTATCCTTCAGTTGTTTTTCCTGCGCTGTTCTTCATTTCGGCCTCTGGGGCACAGCCAGACCAGTGCTGAATATATGAAGAGAAATACAACGGTAATACAAACTGTGAAATATTATGTTTTTTAAACATCAATAAACACTCTAGATGCTAAGTTGTAGATTGGGTTTGACAGCAGCCTTTACAAAAAAAAACAGCCCTAGGCTGTTTGCAGTTCTCACTTTCCAGTTTATAGAATGTTTATTGATGTTGCAGTTTGAAAGTGAAACTCCTACCAAGTGGTGCAAACTGACCAAGTGCCGGTGTAGCTGGCCAATTACTGGTACTTGAATAGCCAGTTGGAAAGCCAAGGATATGGTGTTAGTCACATTGATCATGGTGAATACTGTACATACTTGCGTTTCATTTTTTAGAATGTAATAAAATGACTCATAAAATGAAAATAATCTATTAAACTGAGTTGTGTTTCTTTCATTTGCCTTAAAAAGGATGAGTAAATAATTACACCAAACAAAGGATACTTTGTGTGCTTCTGCAGACAGAAAATACCTCCTGGGAAGCTTTTTCCTTACCAGATTTTTGATATTAAATGGCAATCTATAAACTTTACAGAAGTGGGTTTTGTATTTTCTCTGGACCTATGTAACCCAGGACTGTTGGAACTATAGGTGGACAAGGGAGATAAGTATAACTTGCCAGACTTTCTTCTGCTCTTGCAGCAAAGTTCAGTCTGATGATGCTTTTATTCATTTACAATGCAGTAGGAAACCCTTGAGATTACGGTGTTCCATGTTTGTTCCCACTTTTGGCTATAGGTAATACACTTGCCTTGTATAGCTGCTATTTTTGATAATTTGAGTCAAACCAAAATAAGTTTATCCACTGCATGTATTTTTAAAAATATGCAATTACTTCCTTTCACTTCTAGTTTAATCTGCCATTTAGTAGATATTGCATTTCTACTGCCATTTTCTTCCTCATTGCAAGGATATTCAAATCTTTATTGAGATCACACACTCAGCTCAAGGTAGCCAGTCACCACACTTGAAAGTAATTTATTATTTGGGGCTACTGCTCTATCCTGTGATTTTTAAAAAATTATTGCTCTTACGTAATTGCCTTTGAGAAGATGATAGTGAGTTACTGCCTTGACCTTCTGTAAGCCAAACGGTGAAGGAATTCACACAATACTGTTTTGAAGGAATTCCAAGATTTTGATACAACAACAATGAAGAAATCAGGATTTATTCCTGAGTCAGGCTGGTGTGATCTGGAGAGGAACTTTAATGTTGTGATATTCCTATGTAAATAAAAACTGAAAGAACTGCGGATGATGTAAATCAGAAACAAAAACAGAAATTGCTGGCAAAGCTCAGCAGGCCTGGCAGCATCTGTGAAGAGAAATCAGAGTCACTGGACCCAAAATGTTAACTAATTTCTTTTCACAGATGCTGCCAGGCCTGCTGAGATATTCCCATGTGCCTGCTACCCATGCCTTCTAGACAGTAGGAGCTGTAGGTTTCGGACGCTGCTTTGCCATGGATGCTTTTTTAGTGTTACTGAACCTGCATTCATTTGGGAAAGTAGTGAGTATTTCATCACACCCAGTCCTAATTTCTATTTTGTATATGGTTGAAATCCTTTGGGGAGTCAAGAGGTGGATAGACTGACTTGCTTTTGTATATACAGTGGATCAGTTATATTTCTGGTCAGTTGTGACCCCTGGATATTGGGGATTAAAGTCTGTAGAGACATACACACTAAGTTTAAGGGTCACTTGCAAAGAAGTTGAAGGTGATTGAGGCATGTAAATTCCTTGGAGAAGATGATTGATCTATTTGATGATTTGAAGGCAATGGCTGCTATTCGATATGGTTTCTATACAGGAGGTACCATGGAGTGATCAGATTAAAAAAAAGTGTAAGACCTGTGCTGTGCTGCTGTGACGTGGGTCATAATCGTTGTCAGTATCCTGTGGGCAAATGTGGATTTGATATCCCACTACTTAAGCAACTTGATGCTACCAAATGCTTTTGAACATCTGGAAAGGAAAGGACTGGCTCAACCATGACATTTTGACAGTGAAATAAGGTGCCTGGGAAAAAAATGGCTTCTGACAATACCCTGCCATTGTTCTAATGCTTTGTGTCGCCAGGTATCAGATGAAGTCCCAGAAATGCTATGTCTACTCATCTTAGTTAAGGTATTGTACGTTATTCAAATTGCCTACTCAATTATGGCAGGAATCCAGTATTATTTTGATAGTGAAAATAAATTGAATGTTATAAATTTTCAATGTGAGTAGCTATTTTAGTTAGAAATTTTATGTTCTTATATTCCTGCTCTTCATTTTGTCAAATGTATTTGTCAGCAGATTTCTGTTTGCTTTGACTCTAAAACTCCCATCTATCTCCGTGGCTGTTACTGAGATACACATGACTACTGCTTGGTTGAAGATGCTAGACTGTTAATGAAATGTTAAACTGGGACCTAGCTTCTCAGTTTTGATGAAGATTCATAGTCCAGTGAGAATATTTCAAAGTGTAGTGAATATTTTGATGTCAAAGCCACAATTCTCCCTCAACCTAAAAAGAGAGTAATTGGTAATCCTTCTAGCTGCTATTTATAGGATTTTGCAGTGTATAGAATGGTTGCAGTACCTTAGCCAGTCCCACTTACCCACCTGTTCCTTTTAGCTCTGTAAATAATTCTTCTTCAGATAAACATACAGTTAGTCAAAGTCATAGAGTCATACAGCATGGAAACAGACCCTCTGATCTAAATTGTCTGCGCTGACCCAACATCCCAATCTGACCTAGTCCCACTTGCCAGCATGTGGCCCATATCCCTCTTAAACCCTACATATTCATATACCCATCCAGATGGTTTTTACATGTTATAATTGTACCCTCCTCCTCCACTTCCTCTGGCAGCTCGTTCCATACATGCAGCGACCTCTGCATGAAAATGTTGCCCCTCAAGACCCTTTTTTATATCTTCCCCATCTCACCTTAAACCTATTCACTGTAGTTTTGGACTGCCTCACCTTAGGAAAAAGACCTTTGCTTTTCACACTGTCTGTGCCCGTCATGATTTTATAAACCTCTAAGATCACCCCTCAGCCTCCAACGCTCCAGGGAAAATAGCCTTAGCCTATCCCTATAACTCAAACCCTCCAGTCCCGGCAACATCCTTGTAAATCTTTTCTGCACTCTCTCAAGTTTAACAACATTCTATAGAAAAGTGACCATAATTGTATGCAGTATTCTAAAAGTGGCCTCACCTATGTCCCATACAGCCACATGATATCCCAACTCATATACTCAATGTTCTGATCAATGAAAGCAAGTGTGTCAAAAGCTGCCTTCACCACCCTGTCTACCTGCATCTCCACTTTCATGGAACTATGCATCTGCCCCCCTGGCTTTCTTTATTCAGCAACACTTCCTATGACCCTACCATTAACTGTATAAGTCCTTTCATGAAAGCCAGGATAGAAACTGTCCCCAGCAGTCTCAGAAAGTACTTTATACTTGCTTATAAAAATGATTTCTTCATGTCACTTTTAACTATTACTGGCAAAAGAATCAATCAGTTCTTGATCCTTCCACTGATGGGAGCAGTTTGTCCCCATCTTCTCCAGATTTTAACACCTCTATCGAAGTTTCTTTCAATCTTCTTCTCTCTTGAGAACATTCCCAGCTTTTCCAATTTATCCAAATATCTCATGTCCCCTGAACCATTCTCATAAATCTTTTCTGTACACTAAACTCTAATTGACTTCATATTCTTCCTAAAGTGTATGGTGCCTGGAATTGAATGCAATACTGCATTTGAAGCTGAACCAGAGGGTTTTTAAATATAAAATTCACCAGTCTAATTGCTTTTAAAGTCCAGGATCTTGTATCCTTTATTAACCACTTTCTCAACCTGCCTTGCCATCTTCAACAATTTGTGAGCAGACACCCATTGATCCCTGTGCTCTTGTGCTCCTTTTTGTTGCATGCCCTGGTTCTTCCTACTAAAATATATCACTTTAGACTGAGAGATTCTGCAGTCTGTAAAACAGCTGCAGTTTTTGTGTATTAATCGTTGTATTTAAAAATAATCTATCCTTTGTGAGATGCATGATGCTATAAAAGTAAGGAATTGCTGATGCAGTTATGCATCATTTGCTATTAATTGTCTTTTAGTCGTCAGTTGAGACTCATATCTCCTGATTTATTGCAGTCTTTGTTCAAGAACCTCTAACTTTTTTGTCATTGCTGTGTCCCATACCACTGTCAAGTAATTATATAAAAATGCATCCAGTGTTTCATTTTTATTTACACTGACACATATGACTTAATAATGTTTAGCATGAATTAGCCCATGCATAGGGGGATGGTCCCTTTCCACCAGGGTATGACAGTGCCTTTTCAGCCATCTCAAGAATACGCCTGATGCTGTCAATCGCTTTCTCATTGTGTGGAAGTAGCTGGCTGTCCTCCAGAGCCAGTTTTGCATATTCAACAGCCTGTCAGAAGAAAAAAGACACCCCTTTAAAGGAATTTTGGAATTTTTTGGATTTTCATTTCAAGGAAGTTCGAAAGGAATTGTTCTTGCTTTTACGTAATGTTTCTAATAGCCCATTCTTGCCCTCTTATAAAAGGTGTAAAAAGAGCAAGAGTAAGCCATACACAACACTTGAGCCTGCTCCACCACTCAGTAGGATTCTTCCTGATCGATTTCATCAGTTGCCTTGTCCGGTCTAGTCCCTGCATGTCTTGTTTCTCTAATGCCTTAACTCTTGATTTTTATAGTCATAGACAGAGCGTCATAAGAGAGGAGCAGAGTTAGGCCGTTCAGCCCATCAAGTCTGCTCTGCCATTGGATCATCAGTAGGCCCACGGGGTAAAGAATTCCAAAGACTTACCACTGTCATATAAGGAGAAATTTATTCACACACATACCTAAATAATTGATCCATTATCCTGGAATTGATCTCTCATTCTAAACTATCCAATGATGGGAAACAGGTTCTTGCACTCCACCTGAGTGAAAACTATTTACCTGATTTTGCCAGAGTTCTCCCACTATGATCACAGATCATTAAAATATATTACAAAATTCATCAGCCTACTCAGTGCACTGGCTGTGAATTACGTTACTGTTGTCAGTGTTACAGTTTTTGAAGACAAACCAATGCAAGTTCCAGGGTTAATATTCTTTGCTTTTGGACAGAATGATCAGTAATCCCATGTTGATTTTTTTTGAGAAAATAGAGTGGAAATTGGACTGCTGAATAATCACCACTGTGATCAGATCAGATGAACAATGCACTTGGATAAGTCATTGATCATTTTTCACATGTTCTACATTTTAATTAACTTGCTCTGGTTGTAGAAAGTGTTGCAGGACTTTGACTACAGTTCAATGGGTAAAGACTATAAAATAAAGCATCCATTGTTGTATTATTCGGAACCTTGGAACTTTCATGGTTGGGTTTCATATGACAAAATAGATTTACTTGGTTATAAATTTTTCTCTCAGATTTTGTATTTCTCAAAAGACCATGTTTTAAATTAATATTTTCACAGAAAAGGTTCACCTATTTATGAACTGCATGCAGATTCTTCTACTGTTTTCCTGTGATGTATTTTGAACATTATTGATTTGTTGAGTCTGCCAAATAAAATGCAGTTTTGATCGGCAGTAGAATTATGTTAGCTGCTGTGTTGCAATTTTCTCAGTTGTCAAAATGTGAGCAGAGGTTTCAGAGCAGGTTGTTGGATGTAGATTGGCTTGCAGCCTCAGTGGGATTAAGCTTTAAATAAAAAGAAAATCTGTGTTTTGTGGTTAGGATGTCAACCAGGCAGCGAACAGCCTCAATAATCAGGATAACGCTGAGTTAATGCGCTATGGTGAGGATATGTGTTCTAAAGATTACTGTCTTCATTTGTTGTTTAATTTTTTTTTTTAAAGAAGCCCAAATAGTAAAGTAAAGTACTTTTATTTCTAAAGAAAAGAATCTGAAGAAAGCAGGCAATCTTGCTGCCCAACCTGAAACATTAACTTGTCTGGTCTCTCCTCATCCAACTGAATCTTATCGGTATACGTGTCTATGGGCATCACCAACTCAATGACAAAATAGTAATACTAGTCTATAAATTTAGCAGAGAATTGTGATAATCTAGTTTAGTATTCGATTCATTTTAGTTGAGCCTAACAATGGCCATGTGCTCACTTAGTAACATGATGTCTCTCACAATTTTATGTGCGTGGTTAAGTTGCCTAGAAAATTAGGAAATCAAAGGTAAAAGAAGGTAGGATTGCAGGTTAGTGATCGGGCTGATTGTTATCACAAAATAAAAGGAAGGAACAATATCTAAACTCCATTTGCTGCAAGGAATTATAAAAATGTAGGGAAATTTGATAATAAAACAAACTTTAAAGGCTTTGTATCTCAATGCATGAAGCATTCAGAATAAGGTAGACAAACTGGTGCAAATCGAGCTAAATGAATATGATCTGATTGGAGAAACATGGCTACAAGAAGATCAAAGCTGGGAACTTAACACTGAGGGATGTTTGACCTTTCAGAAAGACCGGAGGGATGGGATATGAGGTACAGTAGCACTGTTCTTAAGAGAAGAAATGAGGACTGTTCAGATGAAGTAGAGTCCATTTGGGTAAAGGTAAACAATACCGAGAGATGGAGGACATTGGCAGGAGTAGTGTACAGATCCCCCCAAACAGTAGTCACTCTGTCGGAAAGGCAATAAAACAACAAATAATAGCATGTAAAAATACTAGGGAAATAAATATGGGTGACTTTAATATTGTTGATTTGGTTAATCAAATAGGAAAGGGTAGCTACAACAACAAATTCATTGAGTGCATTTGAGATAGTTTCCTAGAGCAATATGTCATGGAGCCAACCAGAGAGCAGGTTATTTTGAATCTGGTAGTAAGTAATGAGGCAGGTTTAATAAAAGACCTCCGAGTAAAAGAACCTCTAGGAAGTAGTGAAGTTAACATGATTGAATTCAATATTCATTTTGAGAGTGCGAAATATGGTTTGGAAACAACTGTGTTTAACTTAAATAAGGAGAATTACAAGGAAATGAGGATAAAGTTAAAGTGAACTGGGTGGACGGATAAGCAGGAATGACAGTAAGCAAGCAGTGGGAAGTAAATCATGACTCAGCAAAAATACATTCCAGGAAGGAGGAAATATTCTAAGAGAGGGATAAACCAACTGTGGCTAGCCAAGGAAGTTGAGAATATTTAATTGTGGTGGGGGGGGGGGGGGGGGGGGGAGCAGATAAAGAAATAAAAGTTAGTGATAGCCCTGAAGAATGAGATAAACTCAGAACCTAGCAAAGGAGGACTTGAAAAGGTAATAAAGATGGAGAGAATAACTACTAGGGCAAAATAGTCAGAAATACAAAAAAATGACAAAAATGCTTTTTTAAAAATGTATAAAAAGGAAGAGAAAGGTCAAAGTCAACACACACACTTTGGAAAATGATTCTGGGGAGACTTATGGGGAATAAGGAATTGGCAGAGGAGTTAAATAGATATTTAGCATCAGTCTTTATGGTGGAAGATACTTTGAGCATCCCCCATTCTAAAAGATGCAGGGGAGGAATTAATTACCATCACCTCCTAGAGAAGTAGTGTTCGACTAAATATTGGGGCTAAAAGCAGATAAGTGCCCCTTAAGTGGATGCCTTAGTTAATCTTTATATTCCTAGTCCAGTTTACTCAACTGCTTGCTTTCTAAACAAGGTCACTACAGAGATGATGGATACTTTGGTAGTAATTTTCCAAAAATTCTTGGATTCTGAAGAAGTACTAAAGGACTGGAAAATGCCAACTTGACACTCCTATACAAAATGGGAGAGTAGCAAAAATATACACTGATTAGCCTATCATCTATGTTGAAGAAGTACAAGAATCAATTATTGAGGAAGTAATAACAACAGTTGGAAAATCATCATCTCATCAAGAAAAGTTAGCATAGCTTGATGAAAGGGAAATAGTGTCTGCCTAATTTATTAGAGGCTTTTTGAAGAAGTCTCAACCAGAGTGGATAGAGGAGAACCAGTCGATGCATTGTATTTGGACTCCCAGAAGGTGTTCAACAAGGTACTTCCCAAAAGGCTAAGTCATAAAATAGGACCCCATGGTTTTGGAGGTCAAAAATTGGCATGGATAGAGAATGGGCAGGAAATAGTGATGGTCAGGGGTTCTGAAGGTTGGCAACTTGTATCCACTGCAGTTCCATAGGGATCAGTGCTTGGACTGCGACTGTTTACAATGTATCTTAATGACTTGGAGGAAGGAAATAAATGTACTGAAGCCAAATTTGCAGATGACCACAAAAGTAGGTGGAAAGGCAGGTTGCAAGAAGGATACAAACAGTTTACAAGGAGATATTGATAGGCTAAATAAGTGGGCAAAAAGTTGGTAAATGAAGTATTATATGGGAAAAGTATTGTATGAAGTTGTTAATTTCGGAAGGGAGAACAAATGAGCAGTATTTAAATAGAGAAAAACTGCAGCAAACTGCAACACTGGATTTGATGGTACTTGAGCACGAAATACAGAAAGCTAGCACATAGGCGCAGCAGGTAATCAGGAAAGCTAATGTAATTTTGGCCCTATGTCAAGGGGTTTGGAGAATGAGAGTAGAGAAGTCTTACCACAACTACACAAGGTGCTGGTATGACCACGTCTGAAGTACTGACAGCTGTTTTGGTCCCCTTATTTAAGGAAAGATTTCAGTGGATACAGTTCAGAGAATGTTCAGTTGGATGATCCCTGGTCTGGAGGGATTGTCTTAATGAGCAACGGTTAAACGAGTTGTGATAATGAACACCATTTCTTTTGTGTTGTTGATTGAGGTATTAAATATTGGACAGGCCACCAAGAATGAATCATCTGCTCTTTTCCAAAATAGTCCATGGAACCTTTTACATCCAGCTGAGCAGGCAGATGGAGATTCAGTTGAAGATATCATCTGAAAGACAGCATTGCTGTCAATGCAGCACATCTTCAGCACACTCTCTCCTGGAATGGGACTTGAGTCCAGATCCATGTATTTCAGCTTGCTACCAACTAAGCCATAGCTGACATTCAGTTGATTTTAACGGTTGCAGCAGCTGAGTCACATAATTTATTTTCAATGATAAGACTGTAAGAAATAGGAACAGGAGTAGGCCATTTGATCCTCGAGCCTGCTCTGCCATTCAACAGGATCATGGCTGATCCAACACTCCTCGAGTCCGCTTTCCTGCTCTTTCCCCATCACCCTCGATTCCCTACTGTTCGCAAATTTATCTCGGCCTTAAATACACACAAGAAGTCTGCCCCCACAGCACTCTGTGGCAAGGCGTTCCAAAGACTTTAAACCCTCTGAAAAGGAATGAGAGTTGATCTTATTGAAATATTAAAAAAAATTCTTAAAGGGCTTGACAGGGTAAATCCGGGAGGATATTTTCCTCATGGGAGAGCCGAGGACCAGAAGACACGAATTTAAGATTGAGATGAGGAGGAATTCCTGCTCTAAGGGTTGAAAGTCTTTGGAACTCCTTGCCACAGAGAATCTGTGGGTGCAGACTCCAGTCTGACCTTTAGGCTTTAGGTTCATTTATTCTGGTAACACACCAACAAGTGTTTTAAATTACTGAGCCAGCAGAGAAATCTTGAAATTTGCAGCAGGTGTACAATCTGTGCTGTTGGACGATGAGTGAAAATTGTGTTCCACAGTGCAATCTTTACCATGCCAGAGAGGTGTACTGGACCTAGAAGGTGAAGGTGGCATGGTGGCACAGTAGTTTTGGTTCCTGGCACTGAGGCAGGAACCCAGCTTTAATTCCAGCCTTGGGCGACTGCCTGTGCGGAGATTGCACATTCTTCCAGTGTCTGCGTGGGTTTCTGCTGAGTGCTCTGGTTTCCTCCCATAGTCCCTACATGTGCAGGCTAGCTGGACTGGTTGAGCTACATTATCCTGCTATGTACAGGCTAGGTGGATTAGCCATGGTAAATGTGAGGTTACAGGGATAGGTTGGGGGACTGGATGTGGGTGGGATGCTCTTCAAAGGGCCGGTGCAAACTCGATGGGCCAAATAGCCTCTTTCCACACTGTAGTGATTCTATGAATTTGAAGTAGGAAATATAATTTGCTTCCTGCCCTGTGTGGGATATAATTAATAGGTAATGGAAAGCATTCTTCCCCATAAATAGAAATTTGTCTTTTTTCCCCAAAAATGCTAATTTTATCTCCAAGCACCTTACTGCAACTTACTTATCTATTGCCTATCTGGCAATACAACACCTCTTTGTCCATATGAATGGTTCTTCTCATGAACATAGGCAAAATGTCACTTAGTATGTGCAAGTTACCAGTATGGGCATTGGACAACAATCAGGTGGATATTGAACACCTTAGTTAATCTTTATATTCCTAGTCCAGTTTGCTGAATTGATGTAGGACCTGAGATTCTAGATTTGCCTGACTTGGTACTATAAACAGATGAAGCAGTTACAAAGGCCAATGGCTTATTGAGTGGTACTATCATAATGCAACAGAACCTTTTATCTCCTCACTCGTGGCCTTTTCTATAGTTTCATTTCTTATCAATTTGATATAAGCTTGATCCTTCACATAAATGAAGTGCAAAATATCATGGTTGGATATTGTAATCAATATTCAAGTTTATTCTGTCAATACATTTTCAGGTTACATCTTCTAATAGGGTAATGTAAATCTTACCTTTTTAAAATCCAAGAAAAGGAAATAAAGCATTGCCAGGGTCTCGGCAATCTTTCCAATTTTGCCTTGTTTTGGAAGGTACTCTTGGTTCCGCAGGTCAAAAATTGCATGCAGAACTTGAACTGCTTCTGCTTCCTGGGCATCGTCTTCAGGAGAGACAAAGTGGTTGTATTTAGAAATGAAATCTCATTCAGGTAATTGTACACTTAGCGTATGTAACCATAACCCAACAGGAGATGGTATCTTCACAAATGACAGAAAGAATAAAAGTTACAGAAATAAGTCACGCAACTCCCATAGTTGACTGAATTAGCAACGGCATGGGAGGATACCACTTGCGTTTATCTCTCAGCCATATGAAACCATGTGATGCAAGCACCTATATACCCAAGATTGAAATGCGTCTTTTTACACTTCTGTCCTGCTCTCATTAGCTCCAGATATACTGACAGAGATGAAATTGTTGCAGTTATAGTGTCTGTATGATTCATTACCATATCAATGGATGACTGATGATATGAAGTCCATTTTATTAATGCATTGATCAGTATGAGTCATCAAGGTAAGGTCTCCTGATGGCTTACTTGGTAAAGACAATTTATATCTGAACCATTTGGATTGGATGCTTCCAGGGTTAATTTTTAGTTTGTGCAGTTAAAAGTTCTACAATTTGTTCCGAGTCCACCAAAAGTCATCCAGGATTTCCTGCTCTGATTATTATGTGATGATTCCTGTTGGGAAATTTGTTTATGCTGATGTTATAGCATTTTATGTTGAACCAAGATGTAACTCAAACACTGCACAAGACGATGGTTAAGTACTATGTGCAGTTAATGCTTCTCCATTTTAAACTATAGTTTCGACAGACAATATGCTGAAACTGATAGTTACTTAGTGGTACAGAACTTGAGTATTGCTGGAAAAATATATTTTACTCAGATAACTTGTATTCTTCAGGACAATTTGCAAAAATAGGAATACCACTGTAAAGGGGAACAACATCGTTATACTATATATGTGTCTCCAAGCCCCTTACCATCCTGACTTGGAAATACATCACTGTGCTTGTTGAGTCAAAATCCTGGAAAGTCCTTCCTAATAGTACTGTGGCTGTACTTACAACAAGTGGACTGCAGCAGTTCTCAAGGCCACCATCTTCTTGAGGGCAACTAGGGATGGGCAATAAATGCTGGCCGAGCCAGCGAAGCCCACATCCCCTAGTTACCAATCAGTACTCTCCTCTTACACACTGTAAACACTTTGTTCTCCTTTATACTGGTATTCTTCTGAATTGCCCTGATGTAAGCAAGATGACAAACTTGGACAATATTTTTTAAGCAATACTCATATTCGAATAATATCCAAGCAAGCAGCAAATACCGAGAGGAGGTTTTTCCTTAAATTACAGCAAACTTTGTTTTAACTAGCACCTTATGAACTGGCATTCTTGATAAACTGGCAAAAATTATATACCTGAAATACTGGAAGTTTACTGTATTATTGCGATGTCCAAGTAGTCAGGTGAGAGTGAGATGGCTCTCTGCCGGTAAGTTTTATTTCAGGCAAAGTTGTGTTATTATTTAAGTGATTTACCGCCTGCATTACATTGCTATTACTTAGTGTGTGTTTTTACATTGATTGTGGACTGCTTGGTCAACCAGCACACTCCTGGTCCCATAGGTGCTGGTTAATAAAAGGTTTGCTGTAGTAATGGATTTGATAGAATGGTTGGTGTGAGTGTGATGTGAAAACATCAATTTTAAATCGTCACAGTGTCAAAGAAATCAGGATAAGTATCTTTACGCAGAATGGTTATACTACAGAGAGAAGTTGAGACAGAGTGTGGATAACTTTTGAAATAGTGAAATCAGACCTGGATTGCCCTTGCAGAGGCCAATGGATTCAAAGTATTTATTCAACTCCGCTGGCATTTCCTGGTTCCCATTATTTTTCTCCAGCCTTATCCCCTAATGAGCCTACATTCACATTGGCTTCTCTCTTCCTTTTTTATATATTTAAAGAAGCTCTTGCTTTTCATGTTGATATTACTTGCAAATTTATCCTCAAAGTTTATTTTCTCATTATTTTATTGGTTTTTAAAACTTTCACAATCGGTTGTTGACTTGCCCACCAAGCTCGTAAGTTGGTTTGCAGATGTTTTGTCACCATATTAGGTAATGTCATCAGTGCGCCTCTGGTGAAGCGTCGATGTTCTGTCCCACTTGCTATTTGTCTCCCTGTTTGCTGGGATGGGTGGCATCACTTCCGGATTTGTTTCTCAGCAGTTGGTATACGGGGTACACCTCTACATGTTTGTTAATGGAGTTCTGGTTTGAGTGCCATGCCTCCAGGAATTCTCATGCGTGTCTTTGGTTGTGATCCATTCTTGGAGTTCAAACTCGACCAGCGAAGAATGGATTGCAACACTAGAATGACCCATTACCATGAAGCAACAGAAGACCAAGATCAAGAAAAGACAGGCCCTACGGGAAAACTTATTTACAATAACGACAGACAGGGCAGACACTTGGATAAGGAACCTATCTGACCATCCATTCTCAGACACTGTCCTGGTACATGGTCTAAACGACAATTACAGAGATGCCAATAAATCCCTGGTTGCACTGGAATCCATGTTAAAAAAAAAAACAATGGACTCACCAAAGAAACCCAACAAACTGTCAGACAGATAGTAGTCCTGACACTAAGCAGAAGGAATGAAGGGGGAACACCTTCAACACAGCGAGGAAAGCACTACAAGGACTTGAGAGACGGGAACATTGTAATCGTACTGGTGGACAAAGGGCGCATGACTGTCATACTGAACAGTACACAGTACATCAAGAAAGCGAACACTACTCACAGATACTGGCATCTACCAACAGATGGTGACAGATCCAACACCACAACTGGAAAATTGTATTATAACCACACTGCGGAATCTACACAAAACTAGTGAAATTAGCAAATTTGATTACCAGAAAATGAAACCAGAGGGATAAAACACACCCTGCTTCTATGGACTCCCCAAGATACACAAGCTGGAGGTCACCCTCAGACCCACAGTCTCACTGTGAGTACACTAACATACAGACTAGCAAAAGAACTGTAAAGGAGACTGAAACACCGAGTAGACTACTCAAACCACGCTATTCACTCTGCGCAAGAATTCCTCAACATCATCAAGGACACCAGAATTAATGAGGATGCGATCATGGTCTCCTTCGACATGACTGCGCTATTTACCTCCATAAACATCCCCCTAGCTAAGGAAACACTAGTTTCGCTACTAGACAGACCAGGGATACAGAGACCTGACAACACCGACACCATCAGCAAAAACAGCACCCTCATACTACTGGATCTGTGCCTCACAACCCACTTTACCTTCAATGGCAAGGTATGCGGACAAATCAGCAGAAGGTTTATGGGATCATCAATATCAGGATTAATAGCGGAAGCCATAATGCAAAGACTGGAACGGACAGCCCTTCCCACCATCCAACCAAAACTATGGATCCACTACGTGGATAACACCTTTGTTATGATCAAATGCTATAAACTAGAGGAAATTCATCTGCTCAAACAACATCCTCCACTGGCATAAAATTCACCAGGAAAGAGGAGAACAACAACAGACTTCCCTTCCTGGACGTAATGGTCAAACGTAAGGCCAACGGTGAGGTCCAGACCAATGTACACAGGAAGGCCACCCAAATGGATCAGGTACTTAACTACAACAGCAATCATCCCAATACCCACAAACTGAGCTGCATCACATTACAGTTCAAGCAAGCTGCAACACACTGCAGCACCCCGGAGTTATGCAAAGCCAAGCAAGAATACCTATACAGTGACTTTATAAACAATAGTTACCCAAAATTGATACCTACACAACAGACCACAACAGGAAGACAACAGGTCCAGAAACACTAGCCACCCATCCATACGTTAAGGACATATCTGAAATGACCACCCGATAACTCTGCCTCCTAGGAATCATGGTAGCCCACAAACCGACAGCTACTGACGAGGATAAAGCATCCGACAACCACAACTAACAGAAACAACGTTATTTAAAAGATGCCATGCAAAGACCGCCAGAAACATTACATAGGGCAAACCGGAAGAAAACTAGCCATCAGGATTCACGAACGCCAACAAGCTACCAAGAGGCATGACTATTACTCATTTCAATACACATGGACACGGAGGGACACCAATTCGACTGGGACAACGTTGTCATTCTCGGACAAGCCAACCAAAGGCACATATGAGAATTCCTGGAAGCCTGGCATTCAAACCGGAACTCCAATAACAAATGTGCAGAGCTGGACCCCATATACCAACTAATAAGAACCAAATCCGAAGGTGATGCCACATACCCCAACAAACTGAGACACATACGTAGCAAGCAGGAGAGAACGGTGAGCTTCACCGCAGGCGTACTGATGACGTTACCTAGTACAGTGACAAAACATCGGCAAACACACTTACCAGCTCGGCAAGCAAGTCAACAACTGCATCAACAACTCGAGCTACAAATCTTCTCAGAAACTTGAACTTTCACAACCCTCTGGCTTACCATAATCTTTATGCTCCATCATACGTTTCTTTTGGTCTGATAGTATCCTTAACTTGCTTGATTTAACCTTTTGTGTAACTTTCTTTCTCACTGGTATATGTCTCTGCTGTGAGCAATGAACAATTTCCTTAGATGTCTGCCATTGTTCCTTAACTGTCTTTGCTGCTAAACTTCCTCAGCCAGCTCTGCCTTAATTCCTTTGTAATTACCCTTATTTAAGCTTAACAAGTTGTTTCCAAATCGTATTCCTCCTTCTCAAACTGTGATATATCCTACCATATCATGGTCACTGCTTTCGAGGGGATCTTTTACTCTGACATCATTTGTTAAACCTGTCTCACTACACATCAGTAGATACAAAAATACCGTGATCCCTGGTTGGATCCACAGTATATTGTTCTAGTCCTGAATACACTCTATAATCCTTCCTCATGGCTTCCTTTGCCAATCTGACTATCCCAATCTACATTAAGAATAAAGTCACCCTTGATTAATGTACTGATTGTTACATTATTGGGGGAGGCAATGACCTAGTGATATTATCGCTGAACTGTAAATCTGGGGACCCAGGTTTGAATCCCGCTGGGAGATGGAGGAATTTGAATTCAAAAAAGGTAACCTGTAATTAAGAGTGGAATGATTACCATGAATCCATTGTCGATTGTCAGAAAAACCCATCTGGTTCACTAATGTCCTTTAGGGAAGGAAACTGCCATCCTTACTTGGTCTAGCCTACATGTGACTCCAGATCAACAGCAATGTGGTTGAGCCTTAACTGCCCTCTGGGCAATTAGGGATGGGCAATACATGCTGCCTAGCCTGCGACACCCCTCCATCCCATGAATGAGTTTAAGAAAAAGTCCTCATTATCTCCTGATTTATTCTGTCCCACTGTATAGCTACTGTTAGGGGGTCTATAGAATACTCTTACCAGTGTTTTCTTTCCCTTGTTTTTTTTTAACCTCCACCCTATGGATTCTACCTTTTATCTAAGGAAACATATATTGGCATTGGGGGCAGTCCAGAGAAAGTTCATTAGGTTGACTGCAGGGCCTATTGGTGTCTTTCCACACTGCGGGGATTCTATGTTTCTGTTCTATGTATGGAAGGACCATGTTGTGAGGAGAAGTTGAGTCGGTTGGGCCTGTACTCATTAAAGTTTCTAAGAATGAAAGTCTGTATAATTAAGTATATTCAAGACTGAGACAGATTTAATAATGGCTATGGGGATACAGCAGAAGAGGAGTTGAGGATTATTCCCTCTATGGCAAGTATTTCCTTCCTTAGACAAAGGGATCAGAATTGCATATAATACTTAACGTATAGTCGTCCCACTGTTGTGTACAATTGAAGCTAGACTTGTTTGCTGTTTACTCAAATGTTCTTGCCAAAATTATTCTATTGCTAGGAACTAACTAATCAAAAAACAAATGTATGTGTACGTGTTCTAGTAGGGCCACATCACTGTTGCACTTGAGAGATCAGTGTCACGTTGCACAAAAACTTAAGCAAATCTTCTGATCAAGCAAACTTGACAGTTGTATTAAAGACAAAGAACTCTCATCTTTCCAAGGTTCCAATGTGATCATTTCAAACATCTGGAAACCAAAAAGGAATGAAAACACTTGGTGGCAGCAGCGAGTAAGCCTAAAACATTTAAAATTACTTTAATGCTAATTGGTAAAATTGACCCAAACTATTACCAGAGAGAAAAAATCAGTGCATCGTGCTGAAACGAGACATACAATGTCAATTGGCACAGCAATAAATGTACAGCTACAGCCCATAATGAACTGGGCTACTGATGATATCATGGAAGTATTCGGGATGTTTAAACAAAAATGGAGATGGGCAGGCAGTAGTTTCCTAAAGGACACTAGCAAAGAAGTGAGGATTGGCTATATCCTTTTACGGGCAGAGATAAACAATTTTATTCATTAGCTTGCAGTGTTGAAGAAGATAGCAGAAATCAGAATTTTGCTTATAAGATTCAGCACTCATCCGCAGCCAAGATCAAGTAATCAGATCTACCAGCATCAACTTCAAGTCAGGAGTTAGACGAACCTTTAGACAACTTTGTAATGACACTGAAAAATGTAGTCAGAAAATATTAAGTTTAGGGATACAGATAGAAGGCTAATAATCAACTAATTTAGGATTCTACATACCCTAAACTATAAAAGTGCAAACAGGGAAGGACAAGCTGTCAACATTGCAGGCTGTCGACACTGCCAGAGCACATGAAGCCATGAGTAGGCAGTTGAAAACACTGACTATCAACAGCTAGATTATAACTAAACCAAACAATGGAGGAAGAACTTCTTCACTACATGGGAATGGAGAAATGTAAACTTGGAGCCACGTCAGCTGTGTATTGGATGGGTATCTACAAAGGCATTGAGAAATGTCTATGTGCAATGTTTTCCAGTTAAGTACAGACAGAAAAACACAGCAGGAATAGGAGATGATAGCTGCTGAAGTACCATCCAGACCATTTTAATGGCTAAAAGAAATAGGGATATTGTGTATTGTTACATTGTTTGTTTGTAAAGAGCTAGGAACTAATTAGTCAGGAAGTAGGACAAACATTCCCCACTAGATTGTCAGGTCATCTGACCAGGCAAACATGGTAACTGTATTAAAGAAAAACAGCTCCCATCTATCTGAGTTTAAGGTGTGCTTATTTGAATTATCTGGGAGCCAGAGGACAAGAGAACACAAGGTAACAATGTTAATTGGCCATCGAATGTACATTTAGTGAATGAGCATATGAGGATAGTTGCTTGGCCAAAGCTGGGCATCAGAATTTTTATATCTTTGTCTTCTAGGATTTTAAAAAAACACAGTTGAGGACTTTTTTCTATTCGTGCCTTGAATTCCACCCCACACCCCACACCTTGCCCCCCCCCCCCCCAAAAAAACCAAACATCTGACCAATAATTAACATTTTTCTTAGGCTATCATACACTTCTCAGCCTTTATCTCTGCAATCCAGTTTATGATATAATCCAAATTAACTCTTACTGCTGTAACCCTGCGTAAAGGCTGCTGTCTGTTTTACTTATCATTAGAATTTGTCTGATACGCTAAAACATTAGTAACTCACTTCACTGATTGGGAATTCACCAAAGATCCTCAGACAGCACCTTCCAAACCCACAATTACTTCCATTTAGAAGGACAAGGGCACCAGACATATGGACGCACCACCACCTCCAAGATCCCCTCCAAGTCACTCACCAACCTGACGTGAAAATATATTGCCGTTCCTTCACTGTCACTAGGTCAAAATCCTGGAATTCCCTCCCTAATAGCATTGTGGGTCAACTTACAGCAGGTGGATTGCAGCAGTTCAAGCAGGCAGCTCACCACCACCTTCTCAAGGGCAACTAGGGATGGGCAAGAAAATGTTGGCCAGCCAGCGACACCCACATCCCACAAAATGAATAGAAAAAAAAAACTAGCACGTCAGTGACTGTTCAAACTGGTGATTTTACATGGAGAGAATTTGAAAGAAGTTTTAAAATACTCCAGAATTTGACCATCCTTCTTTGGAGGAATTGCCCTAAGATGTAAAAACACTATCTGTCATGTGGCTGGATTATTTTCCATCGATATCATAGTTGTTTCTAAAAGAATGGTATTTATACAAATAAAGTAAGTTGTATAACACAGACCGAAAACATCCTCCAACTCCACGATAGTGGTGCCAGGTTCTGGAGAACTGAGGCCTGCTTTCCACAGTGTTTTCTGTATCTCTGTCTCAACAAGCTCACCCAGGAAAGTATTCCAGATATTGGTTACCTGTATTTAAAATATGAACCATAAATGTCTTTTGCATTTAAACAGAATTAACTGCCTTTAATTACTTTCTTTTTTGTTCACTAAACAAGAAATGTATAAATCTAATTGGTGTACTCAACTCATTGTGTTACAATAGAAATGGTTGTCAAAAAGGATCTATAGGCCAGTTATCTTAACATCAGCAGTAAGCAAAATGCTAGGATATTATCCAAAAGATAGAATAACAGGGCACTTACTAAGTGATGACACAGCTGTGTTGACAAATCTGGAACCTTTTGAGTATATAACTATTAAGATGTAAAAAGGGAACTGCTTACTGGTGTGTTTCGATATTTTGATAAGATATTTTGATAAGTTGCCAATGTTATTCCACAAAATTAGGACTTTTGGGACTCTGGATAATATTAGTTTGAAGATTGTCGAATGAATAGAAAACTCTGTGTAGGAATAAGCTGGACATTTTAAAGTTGGGAGGTTGTAACCAGAGGGTTACTAAAAGGATTTGTAGCTGGGCTCAATTGTGTACAATCTATATTAATAACTTATATGAAGGGCACTGAGTGTAATGTATTCTAAAGTAAATTCTGCAGCTGTTGTTGTAAATCTAAAAAAAAGTTTGAAGTGCTCAGCAGGTTTGGCAGCACCTGGAGGAGACAGAAAAATTAAAGTTTCAGGTTGATCTTTCATCAGGAGAAAAATCACTGAGCTGACATATTAACTGGCAGAATCTGTGCAGAGAGAGAGAAACAGAAGTATTGAGTATTTACAGCATTTTCTGTTCTTGTATCCAGATTTGCTGATAAAAATGGACAGGAGGATAAGTAAGCAGTGAGGAGGACAAAACGAGAGTGTAGAAAGGAGGAGGCATATAAAATGGTGAAAGGTGGTGGAGAGTGGAGCAGATTAGGGATCTAAAAGGGAATTCACACATTGATGCAAAGGGTATGGCTAAAGTATTAAGTGAATACTTTGCATCTGTCCCTACCAAGAGAAAGGTGCTACCTATGCCATGGTGAAACAGAAGGGAATTCAGTCGTTAGAAGGGCTTAAAATTAAAACAAAGGAGGATTAAAAATTGGCTGAGTGATAGGAAACAGGAGGTAGTGACTAATAATAATTATGACTAATACTTTTTAAGGCTTTGTAGTGAGTTCCTCAAGAGTGGGTGTTAGAATCCTTACTTAATGCATATTAGTTATCTAGATCATAGGCTGTAGGGCACAATTTCAAAATTTGTAGATCATACGAAACTTGGAAGCAGTGTAAACTTAGTAAGTAAGATTGTATAGAACTTCAAAAGGACAATGACAAGTTGGTGGTATGGGTGGATAGGTGGCAGGTACAAATTTATGGGGACATTTGTGAGGTGATACATTTTGGAAGATGTTATGATCAGTTCCCAGGTAAAGTTCCCCAATTTGTTATGGCTCCAGACAGGACATGCCAAATCGTTAAGCTCCTGAATTAGGAAAGCTGAAATGCGTTTTTTTTAATTTCCTGTCCTCTTGGTTGGTTGCAACATTTAAGGTAGATATCCACAAGAGAAGAGACCTTTCCCCCAGGCCAAATGACTTATTTTTGAAAGGAGCCAATGAGAACCTAAGAACTCAGGCCCTCAAGCCTGCCCTGCCATTTAACATGAACGTGCTGATCTCATGAACAAAAACAAAGTTGTTGGAAAAGCTCAGCAGGTCTGGCAGCATCTGTGAAGGAGAAAAGAGTTAACGTTTTGGGTCCGGTGACCCTTCCTCAGTGGCTGATCTCATCTTGGCTGCAACACTACTTTCCTGCCTGCTCCCTATAACCCTTTAACGATTTGCTAGTTAAAATATGTCTACCTCCCCTCAAATTTATTCAGTGTCCTGGTGTCCACTGCACTGTAGGATAGTGAGTTCCGCAGATTCACAACTCTGGGAGATGTATTTACATCTTATCTTTGTTTTAAGTCTACCACTCCTTAGCCTAAAACTATGATCTCCAGCATTCCAGATTGTTCCACGAAAGGGGAAACATCTGCTGTACTTCTACTTTGTCAATCCCTTTTAGCATCTTATGTACCTCAATTAGATCACCTCTCATTCTTCTAAACTTAAGAAAGTATAAGCCTAAACTGCTCAAACCTCTCCTCGTAAAACAAACATTTTATCTCTGGAATTAATCTAGTGAACCTTCGCTGAACTGCCTCCAATGCAGTTACATTCTTCCAAAAGTAAGGGTATGCAATCCCAAGATGCAATGTCACCAATGCCTTGTACAATTGCAATAGCACTTCCCTAATTTTATACTTCATTCCTTTATAAATAATGCCAAAATTCCATTTGCCATCCTTACTACCTGCTATACCTGCAAACTAGATTTCTGCAATACATACACAAGGACACCCAGATCCCTTTGCACCGAAGCATTTTGAAGTTTTGACTTAGCTAAGTTGCTTCTTTATTTTTCCAATCAAAATGGATAATCTCAGATTTATGCACATTAAACTCCACCTGCTAAATTTTGGCCTTATCCTTTTGTATATTTCTTCATTGTAATTTACTTGCTAGCCTATGTTAATGCCTGTAAACTTGCTTGCCAAACCAGTGTGTTTGGTTACAGATGTTTCATCACCCTGCTAGGTAAGATCATCAGCGTGCCTCCAGTGAAACGTTGGTGTTCTGTCCTGCTTATTTATATGCCTCGGTTTGCTGGGGTAGTTGGCATTACTTCCAGTTCTGTTTTTCAGTGGTTTGTATATCGGGTCCAGTTCAATGTATTTGATGGAGTTCTGGTTGGAATGCCAGGCCTCCAGGAATTCCCTGGCATGTCTCTGGCTTGTGCTATTATGGGTATATTATCTCAGTCGAATTTGTGTGCTTCTTTGCCAGTGTTTATTGAGACCAGTGAGAATTGGTTGTGTCTCTTGGTGGCTAGTTGGTGTTCGTGTATCCTTTTCTTCCAGTTTGGCCTATGTAAAATTTCTCACAGTCCTTGCATGGTATTTTGTATATTACGTTAGTTTTATTGATTGTGGGTATGGGATCCTTTACGTTCGTCAGTAGCTGTCGCAGGGTGGTTGTTGGTTTGTGGGCTACACTGATACCTAGGGGTCTGCGTAATCTTGTGGTCATTTCTGATAGGTCTGTGATGTACAGAAGGGTGACTAGTGTGTCTGGCCATGTTGTGTCTTGTTTTGGTCTGTCGCAGAGGTAACGGCAAATTGTGCTTTTTGGGTATCCATTCCTTTTAAAAACTCCACGTAAGTGCTCCTGTTCTGCTTTGCGCAACCGAGGGGCCCCCTCAGACCCTTGTCTCACTACCAGGCACACCAACATATAGACTGGCCAAAGAATTACAACGGAAACTGGAAATACTTAGTCAACAATACTACCCACTCCATCCACTCCTCCCAAGAATTCCTCAACATCATCAAGGACATCAGAATAGAAGAGGACGAGATAATGATATCCTTCGATGTAACAGCACTATTTACATCCATAAACATTGACCTAGCCAAAGAGATAATTGCCACACTGCTGGATGAATCAGGAAGGCAGGCACCCAAGGACATCAACAGCACCCTGAAACTGCTTGATCTGTGTCTCACCACCCACTTCACCTTCAACAACTGTATATTCAAACAAATCAATGGAACACTAATGGGATCCCCAATATCAGGACTGATTGCAGAAGCAGTAATGCAAAGGTTAGAATGAATAGCGCTCCCCACTCTGCAACCCAAATTCTGGGTCCGCTATATAGATGACACTTTCATGATTATCAAACGCACAAGACTAGAAGAAACCCACCGATACATTAACAACAGCCTCACCAGAATAAAATTCACAAAAGAAGAGAACAATAATCAACTATCCTTCCTAGATATAATGGTAGAATGGTAGAACGCAAGAACAACGGGGAACTCCAGACTAGTGTATACAGAAAGATCACACATTCGGACCAGATACTTAATTAATCCAGCGACCACCCCAACACCGATAAACAGAGCTGCATCAGGACATTATTCAATGGGCCACAACACACTGCATCAATCCGGAATTGCGCAAAGCAGAACAGAAGCTCTTATGTGGAGTTTTTAAAAGGAATGGATACCCAAAAAGCACAATTTGCCGTTACCTCTGCGACAGACCAAAACAAGACACAACATGGCCAGACACTCTAGTCACCCGACTGTTCATCAGAGATGACCACAAGATTATGCAGACCCCTAGGTATCAGGGTAGTCCACGAACTAACAACCACCCTGCGACAGCTACTGATGAACGTAAAGGATCCCATACCCATAACCAATAAAACTAACGTAATAATATACAAAATACCATGCAAGGACTGTGGAAAGTATTACATTGGCCAAACTGGAAGAAAACTGACAATAAGGATACACGAACACCAACTAGCCACCTTGAGACACAACCAATTCTCACTGATCTCAACATACAAGGACAAGAATTCGACTGGGACAACACATCAATAATTGCACGAGCCATACAGAGACATGTCAGGGAATTCCTGGAGGCCTGGCATTCCAACCGGAACTGCATCAATGAATACATTGAACTGAACCCGATATACAAACCACTGAAAAACAGAACCAGAGGTAATGCCAACCACCTCAGCAAGCTGAGGCATATAAATAACAAGTGGGACAGAACACCAACACTTCACCGGAGGCACACTGACTATGTTAACTAGGGTGACAAAACATCTGCAACCAAACACTGGCTCGGTGAGCAAGTCTACAACCTCATCCACAATCCAAACAACAAATCTTCTCCAGAACTTTAAAAAAAACTTTAAATATGTTAGTGCCATCTACAAATCTGACTTTGGTACATTCTATCGCTGTATCCAAGTCATTAATATAGATTGTAAATAGTTGAAGTCCAAGGGCCAAACCCTGTGGCACCCCATTAGTTTAGTCTTTTTCTGGTTGGCAAGCTTATTTGTCTTGTCTCTGCTTTATGTTGGTTAGCTAATCTTCTGTCCAAGCTAATATAGTACCCCCAGCCCATGTGATGTAAACTAGTATATTAACCTTTAGTGCGGCACCTTATCAAATGCCTTCTGGAAAAAGCTTAAACACATGTACTAACAGGCTCAAGAACAGCTTCTTCCCTGCTGTTATTAGCCTGCTGAATGGACCTCCCCAATTTCAAATCTAATGTTGATCTTGCTTTTTTACACCTCCTGTGCAGCTGTAACTTTGTATGCCTCGCTCTGTTCAATCACTCTATGATCTCTATGTCCTTGTATTTTGTGGTTTTCCTGTACTGCACGCAAAACAAAACTTTTCACCATACTTAGGTAAATGTGACAACAATAAATCAAATCAAATATACATCCACAAGAACCCCATTTCCATTTTGCTTGCTACATCTTTAAAGAATGCTAGAGAATTAGTTAAACATGATTTACCCTTCATAAAACCATACACACTAATGGACTGCATTTTGACTTTTCAAATGTCTCTACTTCCTGAATAATGGATTCCAAGGAATTCCCAATGACCGATATTTAACTAACTGGTCTATAGCTTCTTCCTTCCTGCTTCATTCTCGTCTTGAACAGGGGAGTTATGTTAGCACTTTTTCAATCCACTGAAACCTTCTAAAATCCAAGGAACTTTTGAATATTACAACTAATGCATCCACTATCTCTGCTGCCACTTCATTTTAAGACCACAGGATACAGGCCATCAGGCCCTGGGAACCTGTCAACTTTTAATCCCATTAGGTTCCTCAGCACTTCTTTCCTCCTTGAGTTAACAAAGGAGTGCGTTTTATTAGTTACTAAATAGGAGGAGAAATAATGTAATGCATATACAGATTAAAAATAAAGGTAAATCCAAAATATTAATATTTTTAAAATGTTGACAGTTTGAGTCATTTGTGATGAGTAGATTGTAGCAACTGTTGTCTTGGATAGTACTGGTGGCACTGATGTTGGTTGACCGTGGATTTTGAGATTCTTAGCTTTACAGGTTGATTGAAATTCATTATCCTGGTTCCTGGCTGGCAGCACTCCTTTCTTTATATGCAGTACAGGGATTTTAACAGGTATTCTAAAGTTGTGACCTTAAAAGCACACTAGTTAACACACTAATACATCAGGCCACTAACATGCACAGACCAGGGTTGCAGTTGTTTTCTTTAACCTTTTTAAACATATTCCTGGAACGGTAATATGGGAGATGGCTTTCTGCCAGGAGGGGCTGCATAATGGGAAGGACATGGAGACAGACTATACAGGGTTCTATTCTAAAGGAGATGCAGGAGAACAGGGACCCAGGTCTATACGTGCGTAAGTCAACCAAAGTGGCAGGACAGGTTCAGCGATCAATAAAGCATAGAGCACAACAGCCAAGGAGGTTATGTTGAACTTGTATAAGATGCTAGCTGGACCTTGGCTGGAGTATTGTACCCAGTTCTGCACATTGAACTTTAGGATTAAAGTGAAGGTATTGAAACATGCGCAGAAGAGTATTATGAGCATGGTTCTGGGGGTAAGGAATTTCAAATGATAAAGATAGATTTGAGAAGTTGGTGTTGCTAAACGCCAAGCCACTTGCAGAGATTATATTGAATAAAGACATCTTTTCTTTGGTGGAGAGAGTTTAACTTCCTCAGTCTTACCCATTTTTACTTCAGACCCAGTGTTACAGGTGCTTCCCTACCCTTATCTGCCTTTTGTAGGGACAACTCACACCGCGACTCCATTATTCGCTCCACACTCCCCACTAACCCTACCACACCCAGCACCTTTCCCTGCAACCTCAGGAAGTGCTACACCTGCCCCTACACCACCTCCCTTACCTCCATCCAAGGCCCAAAGCAAACTTTCCATATCCAACAGGGATTCACCTGTATATCCTCCAAATTGGTCTACTATATCCGTTGCTCCCAATGTGGCCTCCTCTACATCGGTGAGACCAAACACAGACTCAAGGACCGTTTTGTGGAAAATCTGCGCTCTGTACGCGATAATCAACACCTTCCAGTCACTAACCAGTGTAATTCCCCCTTCCACTCCCTTAATGACATGTCCATCCTGGGCCTCCTCCAATGCTGCAATGAAGCCACCCGTATTCTGCCTTGGGAGCCTACAGCCCCACGGATTTCACCAGTTTTAAAATCTTCCCACCCCGGACTCATCCCATGTCCAACCCTCCGTCTCATCCCCGCCTCCTTGACCTGACACAAGCTGTCCATTTTCTTCCCCACCTATCCGCCCTACCCTTCCCACTGACCAATCCCCACTACACCCTACCCTGCATCCATCTATCACCATCCCACCTACCTATCCCCAGCCCCACCCCTCCTCCTTCTATTTATTTCTCAGTTCCCTTCCCCCTCCCCAGTTCTGAAGAAAGGTCTTGTTTCGGTCTGTCGCAGACAGAACAAATAAAATTTTTACTCAGCCTCTACCTGGCAACCTCAGAAGTATAGCTACTTCATGAGTGTCTTGCTCTCCATCAGAAAAGCTCTTTTCTTTTTCTGAATATTGGCAGTAAAATTTAAATTCTCAAGCTTAATAGCTCACGAATTAAATAAGTCCCAGCTACTCAATGAGACTGATGGTACCTGGTATGGTATTGACTTGTTCACACATTTTACCTGGGATAGTACTGAATGCAACCATTAATACTAGCATCCCCCTAGCTTGAGGGTCTTAGGAAGTCATCCAGAGTTCCTGCTCCTACTTGCTGTAGGAAACCACTTGAAAACTGTATATGCAAGTTTGCTTTCAGCTGTGAAACCTCTGTTGTTGAATGATTGCAAATACTGCAGTCTATGGGGAAAATGATAAATGTGATATAACTATCAATACAAGACCAGTGCCTCCAAAAATCTTTGCTCTTGCTAGAGCCAAAACCTTCGAGCAAAGAGATGCACGCATTGCCAAATGATTAGTTATGAAGGTGTTGATCATGCTGGAGTGTAAGATACTGATGCTTACCTCAGAGTAGAGCGAGTCTGCTATATCCATCTTCTTCATTCTGTAAAACACATTTGCCATGTGGAAATATCCACCAGCTGTCCGAATATCAGATGCACTGAACACCTGCGTGGCATGGTAAATCTGTTGAGAATAAATATCTGCACTTCATTTCACAATTTTTAAAAGATAGGTCGCATAACGCAGGATCCATCCACCATGTTTTACTTTAAATGAAGAGTGACACTATCTTATTACGTGTATACAAAACAGAAATATTCTCAATTTTTATGTCTGCCTGTTGGGCTGAAATGGCATGGGCAAGCAGAATGATAGTGCTGATGCACTTTTAGATATTTTGGTTCAAAAATCATCCTGCCTGTAACAGTCAAAAGAAGTGTGTGAACTAATTAACGGGAACGGCAGTATTCTGCCCTGAGTAAAACGCTATCTGGATAAAACAGCCAGTCTGCTTTTAGTGCACGCGATCATTTGTCTCAGGAGCAAAAGTGTTAATACTGAGCTGCAACATAAAAGCATGGCTAAACATATGATAGAATGGTTAATAGGAAGGAAATGAAAGATTTGGTTTCAAAGTTGTTACCAGCTTCAGCAATTCTCTCAACCAGACAAGATTCAATGCCCTTATGATCAAATATCTGCTGGCACTTTCTTGGCTGAGGATCCAAGGGGTTACTTCTGGATCCTGCGTCACAGTTAAAGTCTTTTAGAATACAGGAAGGTAAAGAATGCAGAACTTTCTTAAAAATAAACTATTATGCACTGTATATCTATATATCAAACTTCAGAAATCCATTCTGTTCCACATATGCAAAAACTAAGCTCAACTCTATTGTTCTAAGACAATTCTCAGCTACTTACGTCATCAGCAAAGTACCAGAGTGCTTTCTCGTTGTTACATTTGGCTGTGTACAAGAGGCCCAGGTTTCGGTACAATTTGTATTGGATAGCAGTAACACACTCTGTGGTCCTCATCACTGTCCAGTGAGCCTGAGAGAGGTAATTTTCTGCTTCATCTAACTGCCCGAGTCCTGGGCAACATTCAGTACACAAAAAGGTCAAATTACTCATTGAACGTTAATAGAACAAACCTCAAAAATATACTATCTCAGTCGATAAGCAGCACAAAGCCATGGAGGTCTGTGTTAGAGACAAAAAAACTGCAGATGCTGGAATCCGAGTAGACAAACAGGAGGCTGGAAGAACAC